CAGTCTTATAAATCATTTCCGAAATTACTCAACCGATCTGTAGTCGTTCTGATTTTCGGTGTCGCTAACTTTACAGTTTGACGAAGAAGAGAACGCTTAGAGTCGGGGCGTTCTTCGCAGAGGCGCGAGATCTCGACACGAACCTCTTGGAGGGGACGCACGTTTTTTCGAAGAATCACGATTGGCCGGTATTGATTTCCGACCGAGTGAAAGAACCAAAATCACGCGGTCAAAGGCTGATGGCTCATACCGATCAATATTGATAACTGCTGTCCTTGCCTCGCTGGCGGGGAATAACAAGTTTGTTTTGAAAAAGCGGGGTCTTACCTCTAACGCTTATTTTTACTTACAATTAATTTAACACGAAATTACCATTCAAAATTATTTGTCTGTTTCTCAACAATATTCATAAAAGATTTTTATATATTATTAGATTATAAATTTAATTATTTTTACTTTTGTAATGTACAATATTTTTAAAAAATTATTATATACGTGTACATATATAAAAGAATGCAATGTAAAAAAGAGAGAAGAGACAGATAGATCGATAGATAGATAGATAGATAGATAGATTGATCGATAGATGATAGATAGTTCGATAGATAGACAGATTGCTAAATATATCAATAGGTATGTGTATATATATATATATATATATATATATATATATATATATATACAGAGTGTCCCAAAAAGGATCGGAACACTGAAAAATCTCGAAAAGTATACGTTTTACAGAAAAAAGATTCAGACAAAAGTTATAAAAAATCAATTTATTGATCTTATAAGTTTGACCTTGGACGGCGGTACCAAGATTAGAATAAGGTCACCTTGAATTTCTTAGATGGAATCCTATAATTTTTATTACATATTCTTGTAGCTTATCTGGAGAGCTTTCCAAAACACTAATAAAAATATTTTTTATGGAGTACCCTTTGATTTATAAAGGCTAACAATTTTTTGACATAAAATGTAAAATATCTTTGTAAAATATTCCATATTCGGTAATCATATCTTTTTTGCACGGAATAATGAGACCAATAAATTGGTGTAAAAAAACACAGTTGCTTATAAAAAAAGTATGCTGCTGCATATTGAATATTACATATTCAATTATCTGTTTTCTTTAATAAATTGATTTCTTATTATACTGTGCAAAAAAAGTACGTATGATTATCAAAAATGGAATATTTTATAAAGATATAGTTTATGTCAAAAAATTGTTAGCTTCTAACCTTTATAACTCAAAGAGCACTTTATGAAAAATTATTTTATTATAGTGTTTTGGAAAGCCCTCGAGATAAGCTACAAGAATATGTAATAAAAAATATAGGATTACATCTAAGAAATTTAAGGTAACCTTATTCTGACCTTGGTAACACTGTCCAAGGTCAAACTGATCAGATCAATAAATAGATTTTTTATAACTTTTGTCTAAAACTTTTTTCTGTAAAACGTATACTTTTCGGGATTTTTCAGTGTTCCGATCTTTTTGGGATACTCTGTATATATATATATATGTGTGTGTGTGTGTGTGTGTGTGTGTGTGTGTGTGCGCGCGTGTGTGTATATATATTTATATATATATATAGATTATATTCTTATTCAATATTTATGGAGTTCAATTGTTATAAATTTTTTTTACATTATATACATATTTTCTAAAGTAACAATTTCTGAAATATAAAGCAGTCTCTTGCTTATTTTAAATAGTTGCTAGTAGTAGAAATATTATAGTAATAATAAGTAGTAGTTACAATAGTACAATAGTAATACTAATAGTTATAAAGTTGCAGTAGTGACAAAAAAAAGAAAAATATCTTCTCCCAGAACGATTTGCATGTGCGTTCTGGTTATTAAAAAAAGATATTTTATATCAGAGACGATTTATTCGTCTGTTAGTTGCTTTAAAAATATCTTCTCCTAGAACGAATTGCATGTGCGTTCTGGTTATTAAAAAAAGATATTTTATATCAGAGACGATTTATTCGTCTGTTAGTTGCTTTAAAAATATCTTCTCCCAGAACGAATTGCATGTGCGTTCTGGTTATTAAAAAAAGATATTTTATATCAGAGACGATTTATTCGTCTGTTAGTTGCTTCTAAAATATCTTTTCCCAGAACGATTTGCATGTGCGTTCTGGAAGATATTTTATGCCAGACTTATTTATTCGTAAACTGCTTCTTTACATCAGATACGGTTTATGTATCCTCTGCTTATTGTTAGTATAAAAATAAAACATTTATATTGAAACTTTATTGTATAATATAATATAGTTTGAATAAGATATAGATTTATAAACAAGAGACTGCATTTATTTTTCAAAAATTTTTTGATAATTATATAATAATTGATACATTTAATTTTTTTAACAATATTTTAACATTATTTTTTTTTGCAGGCGACGGATGCTGAAGAAAGAGAGACAAGAGGAAAATGACTCCAGGTATAGCACATTTAAGGATACTAACAATGAATCCATTGATAATCAGAAATCGGCGGAATTGCTATCTGATACAATAAATTTAAAAGTTAGTATCCAATCGTTAGTACCCGCGATGCAATGCCTGGAGTCAAATTCAAATACAGGTACGTGTAGTAAAAATGTCGAACTTTGCGAAGATAACAATCATTTTGTTATCGAGAATAGCCCTCTGGATATAAATAATATCCAGGAAAGCATGCTTCAAGGGCGTCGCATTGTCAATTTTTCTCATATGTGGAATGAACTCCAGAGATTATTCAATAATCATATGAAAGAAATAGAGTGCCAATTTAAAGATTGGAAAGTCATAAAAACTAAAACCGAAGGCCAAGAGGAAAATGACTCTAGGAATAGCACATATAAGAATACTAGCAATGAATCCATCGATTTTCAAAAATCGGTGGAATTGGATTTCGATACAATAGATTCTCAAGTTAGTACTCAAAAAGTGCAATGCCTGGAGTCAATTTCTGAAACAGATATTTGTAATGAAGATATCGAACTTTGCGAAGATGATTATTTTGTTATCGAGAATGGCCCACTGGATATAAATCGTATCCAGGAAAGCTTGCCTGAAGGCCGTCGCATTGTCGACTTTTCTCATGTATGGAAAGAACTCCAGAGAGTATTCAATAATAATATAAAAAGAATAGAGTGCCAATTTAAAGATTGGAAACTCATAAAAACTAAAACCGAAAAGTTTAAGACGCATTTTACTTTCAAATGCCAAATGTGCAATACTGAAGCCGAATTCTGGTCAGAACCCAAAGATCCGAAAATATTAAGCATTGATATGGCTGCTGCAATAGGAACTATTACAGTGGGAATTGGCTATGCCCAATTGGAAGAGCTGTGTGCAGCTATGAATATTCAATGTATGTCCGATAAAAGTTATATTCAAAATCGAGATATGTTAGTAGACGAGTTTGAGAAAACAGCCATGGAAAATATGAAAATGGCTGGCCAAACTGAAAAGCAACTGGCTCTCGAAAGGAACGATGTTATAAACGGTATTCCGTACATAACTGTAATAGCTGATGGTAGTTGGAGTAAAAGATTGTACGGCCACGCCTACAATTCTCTTTCCGGTGTTGGTACTTTAATTGGTTACCACACGAAAAAAGTTCTTTTTATCGGTATCCGCAATAAATATTGTACGATATGCGATGTAGCGGAACGAAACGGAATTGAACCAAAAAACCATAAATGCTATAGAAATTTCGATCGTAACGCAAGCTCCACAAGTATGGAGAGCGACGCCATTGCAGAAGGCTTTAAAAGTAGCCTGGAAATGCATGGATTAATTTTTAGAACAGTTATTGCCGATGGCGATAGCAGCGTCTATCAGGCCATCATTGATAGCAGACCATATCGGGAACAAATGGTGACCGTGAAAAAAATAGAATGCACCAATCATTTGCTTCGCAATCTATGCAAAAAGCTGCAGGCGGTAGCAGGGACAACTCAGCCGACTAAATGCATAGAAAGCGCGGTTTTGTCCAGCTACAAAATGTTGTAAAGAACAACATTATGAACATACGAAAAAAGTGATAGAAGCAATTGATTTACGAAATAAACAAGAGCAACCTCACCATGATAAAGCTAGAGAATTACAAAAAGATATATTAAACATTCCTATTTTTTTTTTTTTTTTTGTGACGCTGGGGAAACCGTCATGGTACCACACACCCCCGGGTAGGGGTGTGGGTTATGTGGGACTCCTTGTTCCCCTTGGTCGAGCCACGAATGGTTCGACCAGGGGGCCCAAGACCTACCTCACTAAAACCTCAGCGGGTGTCCATCTCGGGCGTTGGATAGGGGACGGCGAGGATGCTGGAATCCCATGCCGTCCCGCCGCCCCCCCGCCAAGCCATCTCCGGGGAGCTGCCTTAGCCTTGCGGCCAAGACCCCTCCCCGACCGCGCAGTCAATGACTGCGCGGTTCCGTCCTGGTTGCGGCGCAGGGCGACACCGACCCCACACCGCGCCCTCCCAAAGAGTTTGGGGGGCGGGGCTATGGCTCGAGAACTCCCGCTCGAGCCATCGCCCCCCGCCCCCCCGGTGGTCGCGACCCCCGGACCCCCTAGAGGGTGACCCGGTTCGGCGTTCCACCAGGGGAGCCCTTACCAGAGGGCTCCTCTCTGAAGGAGAGGAACCCCCTTCCGTGGACGGCGTTGCCCTCCCGCCGGTGTCTCCTGGCTCCCGGCGAGAGGGCCCCGCGCGTCACGTCCTCACAGAGGGGGACCCAGGCGCCCCGGCCTGACAGACAGCGCCTACCCGCCGGGGACGCGTGGCTCCCCCTCGGCCCCCCCAGCCGCGTCCCCCCCCCGCTCCTCTGAGAGCAAGTGATCGGCCGCGGCCGGAAGGGTTTGCCCTAGCCGGGCACATAGGGCGCCCCCCCATAGTGGGGTGACGCGCCCACGCGCCCGGCCCGCGTGAGGCTCCCGGGGGGGAGGGCCCTTGGGACTTAGTTGTCCCCGCCCCCCCCCCCGGAACCCTCATCTCGCGTCAATTATTGACGCGGGTATGTTTGGGACAAACCCCCCCCGATCCACGCCGCCCCGTGTCCGGTGAGCACCTGTTCGGTGAGCACCTGCGTCATGTGGTAGGATACCCCACCTTTGGCCCTGTCTAACCAGTTTTCTAGACAGGGCTGTATGGCCCCGACGGTGCGCTGTCCTGGCAGTGTTTGGTCCGCCAGGAATTCCTTCCAACTTTGGATCAGCGCCCGTCGGGAGTGGACCCTCACAGTACGCCGGAGACTTTCCGTCATAGTGATGCCCGCCCGCTGGTATCCACGCGTGCGCGTGTACACCTCAGCATACATGCGGGCGAGCATCTCAACGGGGGGCACTCCAGAGAGCACCCCCGTCGCCGCCCAGCTGACCGTACGGTAGCCCCTGCATATCCTGTTGGCTACCCGCTTCTGCACCTGTCTCAGTGCATCTCTGGGACCGCGGGCAGCCCCCAGGCATTTCGACCATACTGGGGCCCCGTACAGCAGCATGGCGTGTACAGTCCCGGCGTACAACTTCCTTACACTTCCGCCAGGTCCCCCGAGATTGGGCAGCAGGCGTTGTAGTGCCATTGCTGCCCTCTCCACTTTGGGGGATATTAAACATTCCTAGTCATATATTTGGTGAACATAAACGATGTAAGGAACGCGGTCGTATATGTGACCTTGATGAAACGAAGAAAAATTATGTACCGTTTCTCAAATTACACGATCTTTACCAAAGAGTAGAGAAGGCTATCATATATTTAAGCGCTTATTCCGACGGTTTGTTGTACAAATACACCAACAATCCTGTAGAGTCGTTCAATTCGATAATCTGCAAAGAAATTGCTGGTAAGCGCATTAATTTTAGTAACCGAGGCTCTTACAATGCTAAAGTTGCGGGGGCAGTTTTGCAATATAATTCGAAACAAGATCTTACGGAAATGCATAAAAACATGGATAAAAATGTTCCTCCTACTGTCGAGATTCTGGAAAAGCGACGACAAATTAAAGTTGCAAGAACTAGAGAATCTCGGAAAATTGATGGACGACAAAAATGTAAAAGAAAGTCAGGAACAGATTGTCATTACGGTCCGCAATCACAAAAACCTGATCTTCTACCCGAGGTTTTTGAACAACTTCTACAAAATCATTTGGAAAAGTTGTTTGAAAATGGGAAAAATTGGAGACAAATTGAACGTAATACAATAGAGCAAAGTGATTTAGATTTGTGGCATTCACTGAGACAGGAACTGTTGACGGCGTCTAATTTTGGAATTGTATGTCGCATGAAACCGACAACGTCTTGCGCCGCAACCGTAAAAAACATTTTATTTCCTCCCTCTATTGATACTGCGGCTATAAAATATAGTCGCGAAATGGAAAAAATTGCGAGAAAAGAATTGGCCGTAACATTAAAAAAGGAGATAAAAATTTGCGGATTATTTATTGATATTAAAAATCCGTGTTTGGGTGCTTCTCCAGACGGACTCATAGATGAAGATGGTCTGGTAGAAATAAAATGTCCTTTATCAGCTGAGCATTTAACAGCGGAAGAGGCCATAAAAATATTGCCCCATTTGAAAGGCATCTTTGATAAGAAAAATCCAGATAAAATGAATCAAAATCACCGATTTTTCTATCGAATTCAAGGCCAGTTAAATATAACGCAGCGAGATTATTGTATTTTCGCTGTGTGGACGCCAAAAAGCTTGAAAATAGTACGTGTTAATAGAGACACTGTATTTTGGAGTAATCAAATGCTGCCCTTTTTAACACGTTTCTATTACCATTGCATGCTTCCGGAAATCTTGGACAGTCGGCATAATCGACATATGCCAATTAGAAATCCAAGCTATATAATAGAAGCTCAACAAGAAGTAGCTAAAAAAAGAAGACGAACGAGTCTTCCACAGTGTAATGTAGAAGATAAAAATATTGTCAAAAAAAAGAAATGTATCGAATCAAATATTTCATCAATGGAAGCAACTGCTTTGAATGCAGAACAAGATGATTGCATCGTAGTTAGTTACTCAAATAATACAGAACTAACAGAATGCGATATGGCAAAGCAAAAAGAATTTTTTGATAATTGGGTTGTTCCTTTTGATTCAGTAAAGGAAAATGTATTACCTTTAGATAGTCAAATAAATGACGAATCATTGGACCGATTTTTGCGCGTCATAAGAGAGAATTCTTGTTTTGAGACACAAAGTGTGCAATATTTGGAATATTCTCATATAATTGAAGCAAGTCGTAACGACAAAAGCTTACAAATTATTGGAGGAAATTGCAGTAATCACTGGCGATGTATTTCTTTTGACGGCACCAAGCTTTGAGTGTACGACAGTCTATCTGGCTGTACATACGAAACATTAAAGGCTAAAGAAAAAAATTACATTCATCGCCGTTATCCACAAATAAATAAAAATAATATAATATTTGAAAACGTTCAAACACAACCTGATGGTATATGTTGTGGAATTTTTGCTGCCGCATTTGCTACAACTATAGCTTTAGGAGGAAATCCTTGTAATGAGACATATTCTGCTGATGTTAAACGTATGAGACAACATTTCTTAAAAATTATAGCAGAAAATAAACTGTCACCTTTTCCTAAATAATGAAAATTTATCATTATACTAGAAATGTGTAATTCTAATAAATATTGTTGCAAAAAAGTGTCTAATACAAATGTCTCATTTGCAAAAATCGGAGAGACGAAAAAAATACATATATTATGGTTGCGTTCTCACGGGAATGGGCGATGGAGAGGCCCATTTCATTCTATATATGCATAAAAATGTTTTGTATATTATATAATATTCTGTTATATTATAAAAATATACAGCTGGTTATTTGAATATATTTGCTATTTTCTCAATTATTGATAAGAGAAGAAAAGCGAATTGTGCGTACTGCATACATTGTAATTTATAGAAAATTACAGGTAATATCAATATACGTATCATACACGTATGCTTATACCATACACGTATGTGTATACATGTATGTGTATATGTATTTGTATATGTATATGTATGCATTTATGCATGCATTTATATATGTAAGAAATATATACATATATATACATGTATATAGATGCATATATCCATGCATAAACATATATATAATATGTACATGGTGATTCAAAAATCTGGCAATGGCCAATTATCTCCGAAAATAGTGGTCTTATGAAAAAAATACTAAAGGTGTTGACTTTTACCTAGGTGTCAAATTTTGAGATCATTTATAGGTCAACTTTTTAAAATCCTTTATTTTTTATTAGATATTCTTGTAGCTTATCTCGACAGCTTTCCGAAGCATTATAATAAAACATTTTTTCATGAAGTACTTTTTGAATTATAAAGATTCGAAGCAATTGTTTGACATAAAATTATATCTTTGTAAAATATTCAGTTTTACGTTATCATATTTTTTATTTTTATGCACATAATAATGAAACCAATTTGGTGTAAAGAAAATGCACCCAGCAAACACAAAATATAACTGCTATGTTACATGTATATAATACTATATAACGTGCATGTTACATGTAACATATACGGTAATTTCTCACTTATAGATGTAACATTTGTAATATGACATATGTTATTTATATATTGTAATTACATCCCAGATAGCATCGATATTGTAGGATGCCAAAATATAATCTTTCGCTAAGTCACTATTCTATCTATAATTACAATAAATAATAGAATCCATAAGTGGGAAATTACAACTAACGTGTATGTTACATGTTACATGCACGTTATTTACGTGTTATATAGCAATTATAATGTTTGCTGGGCAATTGCTTCTTGAAAATTACATACGTCTTTTGCAACTGTGTTTTCTTTGCACCTATTGATTGGTCTTATTATTCCGTGCATAAAAAGTATAAATGTATAATAAAAATTGAATGTTTTACAAGATATTGTCAATTTTATAAAAGAATTGTTCACTTCAAACCTTTATAACTCAATAAGTACATAAAAAATATTTTATTAGTGTTTTGTAAAATTCTCGAGATAAGCTACAAGAATATCTAATAAAAATAGAAGGTTTTGTTTAATAAAAGTTGATCTTGAAATGACCTCTAAATTTGACCCCTACGTCAAAGTCAAGGTCACCATAAAATATCTTATTTTTCCTAGAAACAATTTTTATATATAACAATATAAAATTATATATAGAAATATATAAAATTATACATATAATTGCAAAATTAAATATGAAATATGTCTATATATAATTAGATAAAAGAGCTTTTTATATACATATACTTATATAAATATATATATATATATATATATATATATTGTATATATAATAAATAAGTATTCACATATATAAATATATATAATGTTTCATATATAACTTAACATGAGATTATACATGAACTTCATACTTTATTTATAAATAAATTTAATTATATATAAAATAAACATATTTTACATATAATTATGTATAATTATATAATTATTTAGATATAATTATATATAAAAAATTTTTCCCGGGTTGAACCCTGCAATTTTTATATTTTATTCATAAGACCACTATTTCTTGGACATAATTGACCGTTGCCGGACTTTTGAACCACCTTGTATATATATATTGTTACGTCCTCGCGACGTCTCTTGCGCTGTCTCACAAAAAGATATCACTCACACTTTCACTCGCGTCCGGAATGAATAAATTCTCGTAATGAGGAAAGGAGTTTTAATGAAACGACCCAATACAATAAAGCAAAGAAATACAATATATAATAGGCCAAAATGCCCATCGGTCTCGTAAGCGTCCGCTCAGTGCGACAGCTAGACCAAATCTAATCATGGCGCCCCAAAACATTTGAACGCCGGTTGTCTATAAACAACCCTCCTAGGAGATGAAAAGGGATGAAGGTGCTCAGGGGATGTAAACCAGGGACGTAACACTATATATATATATATATATATATATATATGGTAGATTGTATATTTCCTTTGAAAAATACATGAAAATATGCATATATCATCAAAATATAGGATAAAGTTCCGAATAGGTGAACCCTCCGATTTTTTTGAAACTACACTATTTTTTGTATTTTTGAACACTGATTACGAATATGATAATGAAAATTTGCGACTAGGTCATTTTCAAGGTCAAAACTCAAAAAAATGACAAAAATATAACTTTTTAGACATTATTTTGATAAATATTAATGTAAGAAAAAAATGTTTCAAATAAAAGTTGTAGTTCTTGTAAAAATACATCATTTATGTCCTATAAATTTTTTGCGTAAAACTGATAGTTTTCGAAAAAAATTAGATAAGAAAAACCCTCTCAAACATTAATATATTCTTCGTTCTCAGCCGAACCCGGAGTCAACGACGAGGACGTGACGAAGAACTGACTCCATTTTTTTGTTTTTATAATTTTTATATTTTTTTATAATTTTTTTATAATTTTAATATTTTTTATAATTTTTTTATATTTTTTGTATTTTTTTTACATTTTTAATTGTTTTTTTAACGCTTTTTTATTTTTCAAAACTATTTATAAAACGCTAAATATATTACTCCTTTCCCGGATAACATCTTTTAATATCG